ACTCTTGTGCACAAAACATCTGCAGGATCAAGGTCTCAGAAAACTGTGGGTGCTGTTGCAAAACTTAAATTTTATTAACCCCAGTTTTTATTGCCCATGATGTATGATTGCTTGGGTGAGTCACATGATGTTATGTCTAGTCCCTGATTCAATAGCTGAATTAAACAACAGAATGAAAAACAGAGACTCATGAACAAATTTGGCAATTGTTTTCAATTAGTGATGAATTTCAAAATTTCCACTTTTAAGGATGCTAGGTTTTTATGTTGTTTGCTCTAAATTTCAGTAAGTGCACACACAAAAAATTAGTAATGGTTTTTATATATAAAGTTTTCCATAAAAACGTTGACCAAAACACAGTGTCATTAAAAAAAGATTTAAAAAAATCTCAAAATCGGCAGTTCTTCATAAAAATTGTCATTTTTAAAAAAGAATCCCTTTTTCTTCTTATTAAATAATTGCCCAGCTGTCATGATGAATAATAAATATCATTCTTACTGGTTTACCCATGAATGCTCATGCTTTCCAGGTAGAGGTACAGAAAAAAATCTGACAATATTTGTGTAAACAAAACCTTGTTTATAGGTGAAAAGTGATAAACAGTTGTATAAAGAGTCCAGTTAAACTGTGAATTAGAATTTGAATCTATGGTCACAATCATAATTTGGAGCATTTGGTGAGCTGGGCTCATTCAGTTCTAATGGATGGTGATTTGCTAGGAGGCAGCTTAAAGGTTCATAAACAAAACTGAAGTCCATAAAACTCTTTCAGTGAACTTTGGAGGAGGAGAGAGGAAAAGAGGATCATAAAATCATAGAACACTAGAACTGGAAGGGACCCAGAGAGGTCAAGTCCAGTCTCCTCCTCTCACAGCAGAACCAAGGATCATCTAGACCACGCCTGACAGGTGTCTGTCCAACCTGCTCTTCAATATCTCCAGTGATGAAGATTCCACAACCCCCCCTAGGAAACTTATTCAAGTGCTTCACCACCCTGACAGATTGGAAGTTTTCCTAACTCAGAGGCTACGTCTACACTAGCATGATTTTCTGGAAATGCTTTTAACAGAAAAGTATTCCGTTAAAAGTATTTTCGGAAAAGCGCGTCTAGATTGGCACGGATGCTTTTCCGCAAAAGCACTTTTTGCGGAAAAGCGTCCGTGGCCAATCTAGAAACGGTTTTGTGCAAAAAAGCCCCGATCGCCATTTTATACATCGGGGCTTTTTTGCGCAAAACAGTCCTGTGCTGTCTACACTGGCCCTCTTGCGCAAATGATTTGCGCAAGAGGGCTTTTCCCCAAATGGGAGCAGCACAGTATTTCCGCAAGAAAACTGATGATCTTACATGAGATCGTCAGTGTTCTTGCGGAAATTCAAGCGGCCAGTGTAGACAGCTGGCAAGTTTTTCCACAAAAGCAGATGATTTTGCGGAAAAACTTGCCAGTCTAGACGCAGCCAGAGAGTACGTCTACACTGCATGCTTATTTCAGAATAAGCTATTCTGGAAGAAATACTCCAAAATAGCTTATTTTGAAGTAGAGAAGAGTTCTCTGTGTGATCTATTTCTTTGGGCAGGAGCACAGACGAGGGAACAGAGCTCATCAAAAGCATGGTTGGAGGGGGCTATGAGAAGTCCTCAGATCCAATCCCCTGGACTGAGGCAGAACAAAGCAACTATTCTACAGGGAAGCCTTGAAATTATTCCCAGGCAGGCTCCCTTAGGCTACATCTACACTGCAGTCTTCTTGCACAAGAACTTTTTGAGGAAGAGATTTTCCACAGAAAGTTCTTGCACAAGAATACGTCCACACTGCAAGGCTACGTCTACACTGGCATGATTTTGCACAAGAACTCTTTTGTGGAAGAGTTCTTGTGCAAAAACTCTTCCAGAAGAGAGTGTCTACACTGGCATGTGCCTTTGCACAAGAGATGTGCTTTGGCGCAAGAGCATCTGTGCCAGTGTAGACGCTCTCTTTCTCACGAAAGCTCTACTGGCCATTTTAACCATTGGGCTTTGTTGCGCAAGAAATTCACGTTGCCTGTCTACACCGGCCTCTTGCGCAAGAAGAGTTGCACAAAAGGGCTTATTCCTGAGCGGGAGCATCCTAGTTCTTGCGCAAGAAGCCCTGATTTCACACATTAGAACGTCAGTGTTCTTGCCAGTGTAGACAGGCAACAAATTTTGGCACAAAAGCGGCCGCTTTCACGCAAGATCGCACCAATGTAGACATAGTCCAGGAGCGCCACAATGACAACACTGCAGAGTCCCTCTCCCGGGGTGCGGCAGCTTCACTGCTGGACCCACAGCCCACCGTGGAGAGGCAGTTCTGGAGGCTGGACATCAGTTCTGATGGGTGGGACGGGCTGGGGATGGAGCACTGGGACGACCAGCAGTGGCTCCACAACTTCCGGATGAGGAAGGAGACATTCATGGAGCTGTGCGCCTGGCTCCACCCGCACTCCAGAGACACGACACCCACTTGTGGCCACTATTCCCCTGCAGAAGAGAGTCGCCAGCACCTTCTGGGAGCGCACCACCCTGGACAGCTACCGGTCATTGGGCAACCAGTTTGGTGTGGGCAAGTCCACCGTCGGGGCGGTCGCCTGGGGCTGCAGTCCCTGCACAGGGTGGGGGGGAGACAGTCCTGGCTGTGGTGGGTGGAGTGGGGGTGGGAGGAAGCCCCATCCTCCAGGGGGTTGTGCCGTCCCACCCTCACACAGCCCTGCTTATGGGGGGAGGGCAGACTCGGATAGGGCTCCAGGGGGATTCGGGGGAAGAGGGCATGGGAGGGGGCAGGCACCTCACAAGGGCCCAGGCTCCCCCTCCTTCTCAACCTCTGTTTTCTGTGTTTCTCTGTGTCCTCCTCCTGCAGAGGGGGGCCATCAACTTCCTGCTGCTGAAAAGGATCATCCGGATGGGAGACCTGGATGCCACTGTGGCTGG